CCTGGTACCCATATGAGGCCAATACTGGTCAGTCCCACTGCGAGAATTTCATTAAATATCTCCTGTACACACTTGCTACAAAGGCTAAAGTGCCACCATTAGGAAGTCATTCCGTCAAACATGATGACATTCCGTAGGTGTCTCTTCAAATGTCAGTCCCCTCTGACAGAGATAGAAGAGTGTTAAATCTTTACTACTTGAGTTTTGGTCTTAGTTTACCAGTTCTTTTTTTCCTTTTGGAATTCCTGAGCAACTCTAGGGCACTGAAAATGGTGGGGGAGAAGGGAACAAAAGCAGAGAGATAGAAATCATCTCTCTGTCCCTCAAAGAAGTGGTGGGACACCCAGCCATCTCCCCTCTTTCACCATAAAGCCACAGCCATAACTGCAACACTGGTTGGAGGTATTAATAAGCTCTGCTGGTAAGTTCTGGTCCGGCAGACGGCAGCCCGTGACCTTCGAGTTGACTTTGCCTCCCTTTCTCTCCCCACCCACGCTTCTCAACCTGAGGACTAAAAATCTGGCTTTCTCGTAATTTGCTTTGACGCTCACTCAAGGATTGACACTGCTGGTAAGAGGCAAACACCAAAGACAGCAGATGGGGAAACAAACATTCCCCAGGAACAAAGTGACAGCAGATGACAACTGTTGTCTCTCTTCCATTTCTTGCTGCAAGGGGCCTTTCCGTAGCCTTTTTGAGATTTGTTGACCTAGATCAGAGTGGCAAACTGGCAGATTTCTGCTGTGCAAAAAGACCTGGGCAAGAAGAGGTCACTGCCAGCACTGGCCTTCCTCCTACTGGACCCTTCCATGGGGCAAGGAGTCCTTAGGACTAAGGAGCCATCCTTATCCTTTTTTTTTTTCCAATTTTTTTATTTTTTTGAGAAAGAGTGTCACTCAGTATCCCTGGGCAGAGTGCCGTCACATCATAGCTCACAGCAACCTCAAACTCTTGGCTTCGAGCAATCCTCCTACCTCAGCCTCCTGAGTAGTTGGGACTACAAATGCCCACCACAACACCTGGCTAGTTTTTCTATTTTTAGTAGGGATGGGCCTCTTGCTCAAGCTGGTCTCAACTCCTAAGTTCAGACAATCCACTCATCTCAGCCTCCCAGAGTGCTAGCATGACAGGCATGAGCCACTGCACCCAGCCCCCTGACCCCTTTTAAACTGTGCTTAATATATCCAGGACCCCATCCCCTAACTAAATGGCCCTGAATTGGCTTCCAGGAGCTGAAGACTATTCCCTGGATACTTTTTCCCAAGGGTGGATGACACCACCGGAATGTGCAGCTCTTAACCCGAGATAATCAAAGGATCCTCTCTGTGTAGGTAGAGTGTTGACAGAACCTGGTCTTTAAAGCTGGGACATGTATGTCCACTACCATGAACTTGAGGCTGCTGTGTACAGGAAGAATGAGAGGAGGAACAAGAAGCGGGCAGACTGCAGTCTGAGAGCACTTTCTCCCCTCACTGCCTTGCACTAATGTGAAATTCTGAAATGGCTGAGTATTCTAAATTCAAACTTGGCCATTCAGGTTGTGGTGAAGGTCATCTTTGTCAAGGAAGGAGATGTGAATGTATTTTGTTAACGATTGGTAAGCTTGATCTATAATGTTGAAATGTTTAGACATATGGTATACAGCCTCAGTTTGTTCTCTTGCCCCAGGCCCTGCAAATGTTAAGGGCAGATCTGACCCACCCCCGTGTTTTGTTTGGTCTGCGGAGTATTTTAAAAACGGAAACGTTTCACGTGAAAATACTGATTTTGGCCTTTCTTGACAAATTGAAAGATTGGGCTATACTGGGCCTGAATTCCTACATGGCAGTGTGGGAGAGAACTGGACAGTTAAATACTCACTTAGTTTGCCACACTCTCTACCACTCCCTGGTGCCTCACATCCAGTGAGTTTCATGCATTTACAGGGCCTGCCTGGGCCTGGAGGCATTGAGTGTGAGTCAGGTGGCCCAATAGACTGGAAATACCAATCCCATCATGAGTAGGAGGATGGGAGAGAGCCTGGTTAGTGAGACATCTAAGGTCAAAGCTCTATTCATGAATGCCTCTCCAATTTCCCTATGTGGAGATGAAGTCAGCGTTGGCACTGGCCCCAGGCTCAGATGTCTGCTGCCTCTACTGGGCTGCTGAGAAAGGAGAAGTGGAACTGCCTGGGGTCAGTAGAAAGTGGAGAATGAAAGGGGAAGAGAAGTCCTTGCCTAAAGATGGGAACAGTGCACGTGAGCTCTGCATTTCTAGTTCTCGCCCTGAACTCTGTCCAGAAGGTGCTCGGCACAGGTCATGTGCCTCCTGCGGGGGTTTCGGGGGAAAATCACAGCGTTAGAACAGGGGTGGGGAGGAAAAGCTGTCACTGGAAAGCAGCTTGCCCATGAGAGGCTAGGCCCTGGCAGGGTTAGCTGCAAAGAAAGCTGGACCCAAAGTTCTGCATCTGTTTTTGTTTTTTAAAAGATGGGGTTTTGCTGCTGTGTCACCCAGGCTGGGTCCAATGGTATAAATCATAGCTCACTGTAGCTTCCATCTCCGGGGCTCAAGCAGTCCTTGCACCTTACCCTCTCCAGTAGCTGGGATTACAGGTATACCACCACACTTGGCTAAGTTTTGAAAAATTTTTTATGGTTCACACCTGTGATTCTAGCACTCTGGGAGGTTGAGGCAGGAGAATTGCTAGAAGCCAGTAGTTCAAGACCAGCCTAAGCACTAGTGAGTCCTCATCTGTACCCAAAATAAGAAAAGTTAGTCATGCAAGGTGGTGCACACTTGTAGTCCTAGCTACTCAGGAGCCTGAGGCCAGAGGATCACTTGAGCCCAGGATTTTGAGGTTCTAGTGAGCAAGGATGATGCCACTGCACTCTAGCCGGGGAGACCGAGGAAGTCTCTGTTTCAGAAAAATCTTTTTTTGTAGAGACAGTGTTGTGCTATGTTGCCCAGGCTGGTCTTCAACTCCTAGCCTTAAGCAATCCTCCTGCCTTGGCTTCCCAAAGTGCTTGGATTACAGGAGGGGGCCACCATGACCAGCCAAAGTTCTGCACTTTAAGATTCATGATTCTATTCAGTGCACGCAGTATCTGAAGTGACTTCTTTTGCTCTGCTCATTAGCAGACGGGTGGGCACAAGGTAGACAGAACACAGCTATCAAAAACCAGGTCCCCGAGGAAATTGATGACAGTGGGCCTCCTCCCTATACACCTGGCCAGTCCGTATGGAGTCTCTGCATTGGGAGAGGAGCTCTATTTGCCATTTTTTGTTGGGAGACCAAAGGTTAAAATGGCAGATTCTGCCCTGGGAGAAATGCCAGCCCTCTAGGCTATCTCCTCAGGCTGAGTTATGGGGCTCAGCCCAGCACCCACGCCTTGGACATCCACGGGCAACAGCTTCGCTGGTGGGACCCTGAGTGACTACCGTGTGCCCTCCGAGGCCTTTAGGTTGGACTCCTCTCATGAAAGGATGTCAGACAACCACGTCAGGATGAAGCTCTTCCAGGCCTCTGTGGGGTTTAATAACCACCACAGCCCAACTGACATCATCCCAGAGGGGCAGGGGAGATGCGTACGGGGAGATCCAGAGAGAAAACTGGGCTGCAGTCCGGCCGGAGCTGCTGACACAGGGAAACCAGCTTGCTTCTCCCTTGCCTATCACCCTACAAGGGCCACCACCAGGGACAGCAGGCAGGCACTGTCCCTCTGAAGGACCAAGGGATGAGACTGAGGGTGGCTGCTAAGGGGCTGACTCCGATGCCTGGCACTGTGTTCCCTCCTGCTTTTGTCCCCAGCTGGCTGAGCAGAGTCTGCGTGTGGCCCTCTGTGGGTGCAACCACCTTTTTCTCTTGGGCAGTGGTGGGGCAAGCTGTGGCACACAGGCCAGCAGGTGCTGGGCCAAAGGGTCTCTGAGAAGCAGGGGGAATCGCAGCAGGCTGATTTCAGGCTCTGCCGAGCCAAAGACACTCCCAAGTTACCTGAGCCACTTGTCGCCCTCAAAGGGCCCAAATGGCTGCTTGTGGAGCCTCCTAGTGACAGACCGGGTCATGTACTCTTTATCACTGCTTTTAATGGTGTTGGGGCCTTCAGCATAATACTCAGACCCCTCTTGGCAGGAGGTCCCTGTGCACCCAAGCTTCATGTTGCCCCCTGAGAGAATTAGGAGAGCACTACCCTCTGTGTGAGGAGCTGCCTTGGAGCTGCTGAAACGCCTGGCACGGGGCCTGGTGCACCACGTCGTGGAGACTTGGCTGTCAGCACAGAGCAGCTCGCGGAGTGTAGTGTGTAAGTGGAGACCAGAGAATCACCCTGATGCAGCCCTCCCCAAGGCCACCTTACACTGGGCCTCCTCCCTGACCAAGACCAACTTGCCCACTATCAAGGGGTACAAGGAATGGAAGGTGGGAGGTCATGATGGGAGGACTTGGGGAAGACAACCACAAAGATGCCTGGAGGGGACAACCGAAGCTGCTTTGAACAAAGCATCCCAAGTAGAATAACACACCACAGGAAAGAGGAGTTATTGCTGGGGTCTCCAGAGCTCTTTGAGGGTACTTGAGGCCAAAAATCCAAAGAAGTGGCTCGGCACCTATAGCTCAACCGGCTAAGGCGCCAGCCACGTACACCTAAGGTGGCGGGTTCGAATCCCCAGCCCGGACCCGCCAAACA